AAAAATATATATATATATATATATATATATATATATATATATATATATATATATATATATATATATATATATATATATAATAAAACGAGTCGATACAACGCCGTATCCCAAAATAGCACGGTAGCAATCAGTACAGCGTCGTTCCACGTAACAGGTGCAAAGCTCGCATCCAAAAGTCAAGACATGACCTCAGACTGCTGACACTAAGACCCAGCTCAGATTCTATCCGACGACCATCACAAAATGGGAAAAAGAGAAAAAACAAGGTCAATCTTCTCCTTCAATTGTCTCTTCAGAGCAAACTATCAGCTTTGGTGGGTAACCTCCTGAAGAAGGACATCAGTGGCGAGGGTAGTCGATTCTTGAAACTTGGCGGCCGCAGCACATACAACCCCCATGCCCCCGCAAGCACCTTCATAGGCACCGCGTAGAACAGCACCGCCGCCATCAAGCAAAACATCAGGAACAAGAACGTCGCCCGCGGATCCCTCCAGCTCAACAGCGCCTGCACCCGCTCCCCCTGCGTCGCCATGTCCCCCACCACCGTCTGCACTCTCCCGCCTACGCTCCTCAGCCTGTCATACCGCATCCTCACCACTTCCGGGCCCCTGCTTGTGGGGAACGTATCGAATTCTTCATCCAATTCATCAACATACGCCGCATCAGCGTAAGACAGACGAGTGTCCATGTGCGGTGGGTGACGCGGCCGAAGGCGGTAACGCCACAACCCAATTACTGCCATTGTCAAGAAACTGGTGGGCAGGATCAGCTCAGGCAGCAAGATGAACAACAAATAGGCGATGATGAAGATGACGGAGTGCACAGGGCGGCGCCAGCTGCGGAGGAGCTCGATCGATCGCCCAACGGCGACAAGTCCAGATAGCACCGAGACAAGCCGGAAGAAGTTGGCCTTGCTCCGCCGCATGCTCCAGAGGTGGGACCCGTGATCCAGCATATACTCCACGACCTCCCGGCCCAGCGGCGGCTCTGCCCGGCACAGCCGAGCCGCCACCGTTTCCACCGCCTGGAAACGGAGCCGCTCCACCTGGCCGACGAGCAGCGGATCTACGTAGTGCATTTTGGGAAGCAACGGACGGGCATAGGCGTGGAGCATGCTCGCCGCATCGGCACACGAGAAGCGGACGGCAAGGTGGAGCTCCCCGGCCTTCCGCGCCCCCGAAAGGTGCAGCACCAGCAAGGGGTGCGCGTGCGTGTACACCCGATCCGTCTCCAGGGTTGAGAGGCGGATCCGGACTTTCCCGATGCAAACATCCACGCGGGGAGTCCCGCAGCCTAGGCGGCCATTGTCGAAGACGCCGATGGTGATGGTAGTGCAGGGGTCGAACACCTCCCAGGTGTACTGTTCGTTCCACTGCGGGCAAACCGAATCGACCACCGTGCGGGTCCGGACCCACTTGGGACCGTATTTGGCAACGCAGAAGGCGTCGGCGGTACCGCTGGCCTTTGACAGCGCCAGGCCGGACGCGCCAAGGATGCCCAGTTCCAGGATACCCACGCGGGGAATCCAAAGCTGCCTCGCCGTGGACCGGAGGTCGCTGCTGTGCGCTGCCGCCTCGTCCAGAACATGGTACCCGCCGTCCAGGCTGAGCCGCAGGTGAACCCGGCTGCCGAACCGGCTCGACCCCTGGCCTCGGTCGAGCGCGATCCACCGAGAGGCCACCGGCTTGTCATCGAGCCGTCGCTCGATGGCCGAGAGAGGGACGGCCACCCGACCGAGCACCTCGTCGCGGCCGGGACTCACCCGGTCCTCCACGGACACCAACACCAGGTCGTCAAACGGCTCAGCCACCACGAACATGAGGTCTTCGTTCCAAGTTGGGTTGGAGGGGGCTCGGTTCGGCAGTAAGGCAGCAAACCGGGTTCGGACCACCTGCCTACCCACCTGGCCTTTGGCGAAGATCTCCGGAAAGCGGCCGGGCACGGCGCAGGGGACGACAAGGTCCTGTGCCTCAACGACGGACACGCGGAGGTACCATAACTTCGGTGCCACGTATACCTTGGACTTGATAGAACCCAGGCCGTCCCCGTGGACACCGGCAGCCCGCGAGTGCCAAGCCTCCGCGAAGGCCTCGTCCGCCTGGGTCCCGAACCAAACCGAGACCATCAACTCCCCCTTGGCTCGCTCCCCGGCCTTGCCCTCCATCCGGTACCACTGCGGGGCCAGCGTGCTGTCGGGCGGGACTCGCCGCGGTAGCTCGCCGAGGTCGAACGACAGCCGTCCGATGAAGTCGTCCTTGGTGGTGGGCCCGCCGCCGTCCCTCACGAGCACCTCCACCACCGACGAATGAATGCTGTCTTTGGAGAAGGCGAACACCTGGTCCCAGTGCCAGAGCGGCGCCCCGGCGGCTGTGGAGGATCGAGTCACCCCTCGGTAGTTGCCCAGCTTGACCTCCGCATGCGCCTCGCAGCCGCCGGTCTGGAGGTCCCGCGCGCGGACCACGCGCACGTACAGGTATTGCATATGCTCCACCAGGTCGTAGGTGGAGCTTGCCTTGTCGCGGTCGGCGCCGTCGCCTCCCAGCAGGGGGCGGGTCTCCTTCAGAGTGAAGTCCTGGGTTCTACCGCCTCTGCCGCAGCCAAATGAGGCAGGCATCGGGTACGCCTCCTCAGGGGCCGCGAGGACTACCGACTTAACGTCGGTCGGGGCGGGATCCTGCAGCCGGGCTGGCAGCGGCGTCTGCTTCCCTGGAGGCGGAGGCGTGACCACCGCCGAGGGGATCTGCTTGGTTGTCGGAGGAGCAACAGCATGCTGCTGCTTGTTGCCCCCACCGCCGTCAGCCTTGGTAAGTGCTCGTTCAGAGTCGATGGCGGTCCGGTAGATCTTCAGGCTGACCTCGCCGCGGATGTGGGAGAAGAGGCTGCGCCTCTCGAGGGGGAAGAGCTGGGGAACAGCTTCCTCGCCAGGGGCGGGGACTCCAGAAGCAGGGATGCGGACCTTACCGAGGAAGTTCCGGCCGCCTACGCCGCGTCCTTCGGCGCCGCGGTCGTTGTAGACGCCGACGTCGATGGCACGGTAGGGAAGGTCGTCAGGGTCGGAGACATCAAATAGGAGGTGCTCGTTCCAGACGGGGTTGAGGTTCTTGTGCTTGGGGCGTGTCCGCCGTCGCTGATGCTCGAACTCGACCTCCACGTACGGCGACGACGAGCCCTGCCCGTCCTTGGGCATCAGATTGCGGGCTGCCACCACCTCCACCACCAGCTTCTCCTTTCCCATAAGACTACTCGTAACTTTTGTCGGTGCTTAGCGGAGGCTGCTCACGGGCGCATCGCTGCTACGGATGTCTTTGCCTTCGAAATTGACTGCGAGGAGAGAGAGCGGGAGAGGGGTATAAGAGGAACGAGAGATTAGAATTGGGAAGTCTTTTAAGGCAAGGGTGTAAAGCGGAAATAAGAGAGAGAGAGAGAGAGAGAGGGAGAGGGGATACGAGGAGAAGACGGGTAAATGGCGGGGTAAGACTTCGTCTCGGGGGCCGCGAAGAGGCGACAGGACGGTCGCGGGGCGCAGGGGCAAGTGCCGAAGTGCTAAAACCGGGAAAAAAGCCGAGTGCAGGAACACGTGTCAACCCGATGTCTGTGCCATTCCTGTGTTCAGCATTAAAAGTGGTCGCGCGCGTGCCGAACCTGCACACGTTCCACGAATTCGATGAGCCAATAGAATATGGTTCATCTTCTGTTGTGCCGGCGGAAATATGGAGGCGTGCCGCGTCTTCTTTGTGATTGGTTGGAAGAATGCGTTACTTCGGGTGATGTTCTCTCCGATCATGCGTTCTTAGAAGGGTGGCGGATGGCTATGGGAACGGAGATGGCTGCGTACGGGGACAGGCGTCCTTTGTCGGGGCCGCCACACGGATTTGACCGTGTTCCGTGGAAGCAAACGGAGACGATTGCGGAAAGAATTAAGAGAAAACAAAGAAGGGTCCGAAGTCGTTTTCGGGTGTGCGCACGTCGCCTCGGGCGGAATGTATGTGAAGATATTTAATGGTTAATCAATTACGAGAGCGATATTGAGGTTGCATTTTGCGAGACACGCAAGAAAGACGAACGAAAATTAAAAAAAAAACCGAGAATTAAAAAAAAAAACCCCACGGAGGAAATGCAATCCGGCATTGTGGCTGTCGGGTTGACGACAATCATGGAAGATGTCTGATATCATTAAAATATATATCTTTAAATGATAGGAATAATATGATGACTCAATTCTTTTAACGTAATATATAAGTAAAAGTTTAAAAATCATTTGATCGCCCGCAAGTGGTCATGTTATCTGTAGACTTTTAGGAATGGGCCTATATCATCCACTCCCGAGTGATATATAAGTAGAAGTCATACCTCTAAATTAATATGTGATTATATGGTCTAATTTCATTGATTTTCCTTTTTCCTTGACCAACAAAAGATCACTCCTTGCCTAACCCAAAGTGACAAAGAAGTCAACCCAAAAGCGTACCCCCAACAATCTACCGTAAGCACTAAGGAACATACGTTAGTAAGCCACCCTCACTAATGCCTCCGTCATACAAGATAAGGGGGGCCTTAGCGAACAAACATCCAGACCACTCAATGCCCAAGTATAAAAGCCAAGCCTCGGACCAAGCTGAGGCAAGCGGGCAAGAGCTCTTCACTCTCTCATTTACATTATTAACTATGAAAAATCTAGGGTGACATCACATGCACAGCGGAAGAATAGAAAATAAAATTCGTAGAATTTCCTGCAGAAAAAAAGGTTTCATCGTCATGCAAAGATTAGTACATAAAAAATCGTAAAATTAAAAAACCACGTGTGTGAAGGGATGAGTGTTACTTACGGAGATTATATATCCCTGAAACTTACAAATCTGTGTGAGAGGATGAAGGAGGTCAACTATCCTCTTCTCTAGTGGTGATCCACACAATAGGGGCTACAAAGACGCTTCTCAAATCGCTACTCAAATTTCCTCGCTACACGCACCATATAATCAAGAAGGGGTCGACCCTTCTTGTTGTCCACACACTCTAAATAGGGGCTGTTGACTGAAGAGGAGAGGGGGAGAGGTAGCAACCAAAAGGGGTCTAGCCTATGACTCTTTAGTTCCCTCTTATTATAGAGGCCCCCTATCATCTTAACCCTAATAAATCTTACCTTATTGGGTACTACATCTCCATCCAACTACTTAAGCCTTCTAGATTAGTGGGTGTCTACCCAATAATATCTCATTGGCTCTTATTGGATCTCATCCATATGATCCAATAATTCAAGGGCTTATTGGATATCCAATAAGATAGGGACTCTAACAGATATCTCAAATCTGAACATCTACTTATCGCAACACCTACCATATGTGTGTGATCATCTAGGCCCAATATCGAGCTAGTAATGAGTCATACCTGTCAGAACTCATTCTGACTCAGTGGATTATTATCTCCATAATAATTCACTTGACTCATCGACACTCAATAGTCCTCGTAAATTGGCTACCACTCTTGATGATCTATTGTGCTAGATTTGGAACTTCTAAGTCTATAAGTTCGGTATCAAAGAGTGGAGTACTCATATAGGACATCCTTGGTATTTCAAGTCTAAGGACTAGATATATCACTAGGATGACGGAATCATTATCTAACAATGAGGTATCATCAACCATCCAACATTCCATGAGTGGATTAATCAATAAACTCATTCTCCAATGAGCACTTGTGTGGTATCCATAGTGTCCCCATACGAGTAGCTATGAGACCAGCCGCCTCCATCATATAGATGAGTATATAACACACCAGTTTATCTGATCATCTCGATGTCCCTTTCGAGTGACTTATGACCAAGATTATTTAGGGTGTGTTTAAAGGCGAATTGGTCTTATTATCGTGATTCTATCATGATTCAATGTCGATTATACATATCCATTGACATCACAATATATGTAATAGGTAATATAAAGTGAAAAAAATACCAAATAAATAATAAGCAAAAAGAGTGTGTATCATGTCACACGTGTCATCACTCACGTGATTGGCTTATAGGGCACATATGACTAGTAATCTCCTGCTTAACGTAAAGTAATCGCCTATGTGTTTGATCCTCATCAGATCCCTATGATGCTCAAATATAATATGAGATAAAGGCTTTGTTAGTGGATCTGTGATTTTATCTTCGGATAGAACTCTTTCCACGGCTACATTTCTTCGGGCCATGATATCTTTGATCAGGTGGAACCTTCTCAAAATGTGCTTAGACTTCTGATAAGACCTAGGTGTTAAATCTTGGATTTTTATGACGAAACCAATTGATAGCGTTAATGATCTAATTTGTGTTTAAGTGATGCAGGACTAGCTTCGATCATGGATAGATAATTAAACCAGGAAGAATCAATGTTGGGTCGGAGTAGAACATGTCAAAAGATTGGACGTCGAGCCGGAGGATCAGTTAATGTGTCAGCAGAAGGCTTCATGCCATGAGTTTGGGCATCTGGCCTAGAAGAGCATACATTGCACGAAGGAGATCAAAGTTACGAAGGTCAACATGCCGATTGGGCAAAAGGTCGCAAAAGAGGATGATGCGTCGAAGGATTGGATGAAGCGTCGATGAACTAATGACATGCTGGACAACATATGATTAAGACATTGTAATAATTATCTAGATCGAAGTAGTTTTAGTTGTAATTGGGTTGGTTTAGAATGTATTTAAGCCGACTCAATTATGGGCCAACTAGGCCCAAAGTGGGGTTGTTTTAGGCCAAGAGAAAGGCCTATTCAATGACTCGAAGCCACATCAAACGATGGCACCGCTAGTGGCTTAGTCTTCGTGACACAATCTCCAAGACCGTGTCAGGCGGTAGTACCACCAGACTGGGTGGTGGTACTGCCTAGTGTTAGGCAATGGTACCGCTAGACTAGGCAAGTACCGCCGAGACATAGTCTCCCAAATTATGTCAAGCGATGGTACCGTCGGACTGGGTGGTGGTACCACCTAGTGTTAGTGCTGCAAGCGGTGGTACCGCCAGGACCCGAGAAACCCAAGATGAGACTTTTTTTTACTCCAATTTTGAAGTCATTTGGGGTCTATAAATACCCTAGCTATTCTTGCATGGCACAACAAGAATTTGAGCAGAGAGGGGTTGTTATACTAAGTTGAAATAGTGCTAAGTGTCCTCCTCTTTAAGTTTCAGGCTTAGTCTAAGAGAGGTGTGAGGCTTGTAAGGGTTGTCTCCTAAACCCGTAAAAAGGAGAAAGGGTTGTAAGAGGGTAGTTGGTCTTCGATCATTGAAGGAAGACCGGTAGTAGAAGCCGGTGGCCTCGAGTGAAGAGGAATCGAGAGTGGATGTAGGTCACGACGACCGAATCACTATAAAAATCTGGTTTGCATTTACTTTAAGCTTTTTATTTTAATTTCAAACTGATTTCTTACTTTCAATATGCTTACGAATGTGTGTCAAGTTAACATCTTTTCGATAACGATTTTCATCGAACGTACGAAGTTTCAAAATCGATGTTTTTATCGTAACCACTAATTGCACCCCCCTCTTAGTGCCAACTCGATCCTAACATTTGGTATCAAAGCTACATTTTTTTTTTCATTTAGTTTAACACCCAAGAGAAATAGTCATTTTCATATTTCAAGAGGGTCATTATATCATTCCTCCTCCTATGTTCAATGGGACAGACTATGCTAGGATCAAGTCGACACTAAGAGAGGGGGGAGGGGGGAGGGGTGAATTAGTGTAGTGGATAAAAGCGACGTCGGTTCGAAAATCTTTCGTTCAATAGAAACTCATATCAGAAATGTGAGTTTAACTTGAAAGCGTACAGAAGTGTAGTGAAAGTAAGAATTCAGTTTGCAATAAAGCTAAATTAAAAGAAGTAAATGCAAACCAGATTTTTATAGTGGTTCGATCGTCGTGACCTATATCTACTCCCGATTCCTCTTCTATCGGGGCCACTAGCATCCACTAACGATCTTCCCTCGATGGGTGAAGATCAACTACCCGTTTACACTCTTTCTCATTTTCACGGGTTTAGGAGACAACCCTTACAAGCCTCTCTCTCTTAGACCTCATTTCTCCCTTTAGACAAACTTCTAAATACTAGGAAGAAGTGATCCTAAATCCTAGGAGAGTTTCCCAATTTTTTCAAGTATTCTTTCCCCTTTTTTCAACTCAATTTTGTGTTCAATTCTTGCTTTCCATATAGGAACACCTGAGGTATTTATAGACCCAAAATGACTTCAAAATTGGAGCAAAAAAAGGTCTCATCCTGGGTCCTAGCGGTACCACCGCCTGTATTGGATGATATTATCGACTGCAATACTAACACTGGGCGATATTATTGCCTACAACACTAACACTGGGCGGTATCATCGTTTGAGAGATTGTGTCTGGGTGATACCACCACCTAGACTAGTGGTACCA